GAGGGAGAGGTCAGCCTTGGCCCCCAGACCCAGAAGTCTGGGCAGCCCGAAGGCCTCAACGGCCAAGCAGAACCGCCGGGAGCGGAACAGGAGACGGTCAGGGCTGGTCTGGGGGCTCTGCAGCTTCAGCCCCCCCCCCCAGTAATGCCAGGGCGTGTCCCTGGGCACAGGCAGAGGGCTTTCCCCACACTGCACCTCCTCCTGACCACCACCTGCCCCCCACCCCACCTACCTCTATTCGGGCAGAAGCCATATTTCTTGTCCTGGTCAAAGTTGGCGGTGGTGGCACACCAGCGGTAGCCGTCTGTGCGCCCATCGGTGGTGCAGCCCTGGTAGGATTTGCCCTCGAAGACAAAGGGGAAGACGCACTTCTGTCCGTCGCTGTTCCCGTCGTAGGTGAAGAGGACTAGGAGAGCCGGCAGGAGAAAGGAACTCAGCCAATAGTCCCAGGAGACCAAACTCCCCCCCCCCCCCCAGTTCTCTTGGCTATTTATTACATTCAATTGATACGCCACCCACCAGGGGCTTAAAGCTAAACAAGGACCAGGGGCTCCCAAATGGGTGGAAGGGGACACCTCCCCCCAGTTAGAGTCTGAGTGGGGCCTGCTTGCTTCCCCCCTCCCCCTTTTCGCTTCTGCCCCTGGGAGGGGCTGGGCGGGGGGCCCCCTCTTTTGGCCCCCCCCCCCCATCTCCCCACACCCCGTGGGGGCAATCAGGGTCTCAGTCCTGATCAATCCACTCACAGGAGATTCCAGCCACTTCTCTGAAATGGTTTTGGGCAGGGGCCCCCAACCCCAGGCCACGGCAGGCCGGAAACCGGGACGTGCCAACCAGCGGAGCCCCTTCCAGCAGCATTCGAAACCAGGCCCCCTCCGGCCCACTGAAGAACCTCTCGGCGTGGAACGGCTCCCTGGGGCCCAAAGGTTGGAGGCTGCTGGGCCAGGGCCTGCTGCTTGAGCAGGGGGCTGGACTAGAAGACCTCCAAGGTCCCTCCCAGCTCTGTTCTGTTCTATACTCTGTTCTGCCCTGTCCTGTCCCGTCCCGTTCCACTCCCCCCTCCCACTTCCCGAGCATCGGCTGCTCACGTTCGCTGGGGCAGAAGCCGTATTTCTTGTCCCGGTCAAAGTTGGGGGTGGTGGCGCACCAGGGCAGCCCGTCATCTCGCCCGTCGGTGGTGCAGGAGGCATAGCTTCTGCCCTCAAAGGTGAAGGGGAAGCGGCAGGAAGAGCCGTTGGCGTTGCCAAAGTAGGTCTTCACCACTGCTTGGAGAAGAGGGGAAGCGGCCGTCAGGCGGGCAAGGCTCCGGGGCCCAGAGATGCACCAGCCAGCCCGGGGGCCACTCACCTATGCCCGTGCCCAGCGTCCAGAGCTCGTCGTCGTCAAAATGGGCGTCCCCGCTGAACCGGTCTTTGCCGGGAGGGAAGGCGTGGGCCAGGAGGTTGTCCTTGCCATCAAAAGGGTAGCCATCACCGTGCTCTGGGGGGGGGGAGGAGAAGGGTCACAGTCCCGGCGGGGATCCTGCCAAGCTCGGAGCCTCCAGGCAGGCAGACAGGGGGAGGGGGGATCCCAGCTGCCCCCAACCCTCTTCTCCTCCCCCCCCCAACTCACCTCCGGTTCCAAACTGGATGAGGATGTCCACCTCCCCCTCCTGCCGGCGGGTGAAGGTGAGGGGCGTCACCTGGCTCCACACCCGGAAGGCTCTGGCGAAAGCGTCTTCGATGATGGAGCCGTCCAGGTCAGGGGAATAGTTGACCACCCTGCCAAGGAGCAGAGGAGGAGGAGGAGGAGGCTCGGAGGCTGCCAGTCTGCCGGGCGCCCCCAAGCAAGCCCTGCCCCAGCCCCCCTCCTCGCGCGCGCACACACACGCACGCCCGGGAAAACACGGGTCTGCCTCTGGGGGGAGGGCAGCCTTCCCCAATCTGACTCTCGGGGTCCCCTCCACTTGCAGTCCGCCGCGGGGGGGGGGCTGTGAACCCGCCGACGGTGCCCGCTCGCTCACCGGTAGGTGAGGTCTGTGTGGTCCCACTTGAGGTCGCCCTGGAAGGTTTGGAAGCTACCCACGTCGGGCACTCCGCAGCGGGGCGCCCGCATGGCCGCGCGGGTGGAGGCGTCCAGCTGCCCTGTTTCCGGCAAGCCCAGCCGCTTCTGCATGGCCTTGAGGGGGGTCTCCAGCTTCACCTGTCCCCCGGGGTTGGTCGCCGTCAAGTACCCGTAACGCTGGAGGTAGCGCTGCGGAGGAGAGAAGAGGGCGCTAGCGGAGGGCTTCTGGCCGAGGAAGGCAGCCGGCGGAGGTGTGGCAAGCGGTGGGCGGGCCGCGGGGGGGACGGGGCAGGACCGTCTTGTTGACCTCGGTCACCCGGGGTCCACAGTCAGTCACTGGCACCCAATGAAGAGCCGGGTGGGGTCACAGGCGGGGTTGGTGTCTCACAACGGCGCCCGCACTTGCGCCACCTGACCTGGGCCGGGCGAGCGCAGCGCAGCGCCAGTTAAAAGCGCACGGGCCTGCGGGGGGCCGGAGGCAGCCGGGCGCGCCGGAGGGCGCGCGCCGCCCCGCGCGCTCGCGCCGAGGACGGGGGGGGGGGGGGGGGGGGGGGGGGCCTGTCCAGCGTAGGGCCCGCGAGAGCGCGCAGCTTGGGGACTCACGACGGCAAGCTCCCGGTCCGTCAAGCCGCTGACCGCGTCCCCGGGGAAGTGGACTACCAGCGGACCCTTCCCTTCCAGGGGGGCGGCCCTCGTGCAGGGCAGCGGCAGGAGCGCCAGGAGGAAGAGGAGGAGGGCCGGGGCTGCGGGGACCCTCATGGCTGCGGAGGCGAGGCGGGCGGGGGTCTCGGGTGCAACGCGTCTCTCCTGCTCGGGGCTGCGGGTAGTGCCAAGCTCAGCCGAGTACAGCCGTCTGCAGCCCGACCGCCGGCGGGGCCCTTTATGGTCCGCGGGGAGAGGGAAGGGGGGGAAAGGCTGAGTCAGCCGCGGTCCCTCCCCCCACCCCCGGACGAGGGGGAGAATCGGGGGGGGGCCGCTGCCGCTTCCTGGACCTGTCTCAACAGGAAATGTGAAACACAGCCGGGACTGGCGGCGGGTTCGAAGAGGGCAGCCGTCCGCCTTGACGGGGCTCGCAAGCTGCTGCCACCGCTGGGATCCCACGTCCCGCGGCCCATCTGGCTTCCCTGCCCCCTCCCCCCGCACCTGGTTCCTGGCCCTCTGTGGGTTGGCATCGGCGGCTCCAGAGCCCCTTCAGGCGCTGCCCCACTGCCCCCTCGCTCCCTCTGACAGGGCAGGGTGGGATGGAGGCCCTCAGGGCGAGGGGTGGGCTAGGAGAAGGGTGGCCTTGGGCTGCTGGCTGGACCAGGGGGCTGCCTGCCCCAGCCTCCAACCCAGGCCCGCTGCCTGGGCGTTCTTCTTCGTCTGGCCAAGCCCCAGACACAGGCCCAGCCCTGGGGGAGCACTCGGGGCAGCCCTGGCTCTGTCTTGGGGTCCACGGAGGAGGCCGGGACACTCCCAGAGCCCTCCCCTTTCCTTCGTGCCTCCCCCCAAGAACAGGGCAGGTGCCTCTCTGCCAGACCAAGGGCCCCGGGGGCCTGAGGCAGGGGGCTGGCCCGTGAGGAGGACCCTGGGCGGTTTTGCCCAGACAGGCTGACCAGGAAGTTATTGGACATCCTGGCTGAATTGGGACTGCGGAGCTTTCATGCTGCAGGCTGCCCTCCCTCCCTCCCAGCCAGCTCTCCCCAAGTCCCAGGAGGAGGAGGAGGCAGGGTGGGGGGACCTGGGCCCCCTAACACACCTCTCCCCTCGCCCTGCTGGCTGAGACCTTTGGGCCCATTGGAATGTGGCACTCAAGGTGGGGGGGGGGGGGAGCCCGGCAGCCTGTGGTTTCATCCTGCTGAGCTGGAGGCACTGAGCACAGCGCGGCCTGTCCAGCTGCAGGGGAGGAACCGCTCCCTCCCTTGTGGGGCAACCTCTGCTGACACCTCTCAGTGCTCCAGGGCTCTTTGTCTCCCTTCCAGGAGGAGGCAAAGGGCCCCCCTCCCCACCCTGGGCACGTGGGGGGGAGGGGGGCTTGGCATGGCAAGTCCAAAGGCCTCCCTGTATAGAAAGGCTTTGTCAAAGCGAGAGCACCCAGGGAGAGCCACGTCCCACACACACCCCATCCAGAAGGAGACTCCGGTTGTCTGCCCAGGGGAAGCTTATTCTGCAGGAGCCCCGGAGAGCTGAGGTCCCCCAGGGTCATCCTGTGACTCGAGAGGGGCAGGGAAGCCACCACCCCTCCAGTGACCCACCTGGAGTTTCCCTCTTCTGCTCCCAGACAGGGCAGGGGAGGCCTCCTTTGTCTCCCTGCTCCCTTCCACGGTGTCTCATGGGGAAATCCCCAGGTGGAAGGTGGGAGTTTTCATGCCACCCAATGCCCAGCCTCTCCCTCTGGGCGCTTGGGGCTCGGCGTGAAGCAGGAACCAAGGTTCACCCCTTGCCTGCTGCATGAAGAGCCTGGTGTCCTGCATTTATCTGGGCTAGCGGGCGTGTGAATGCAGCCCTGGTGACTTGTGCAGACAAGCGTTTCAAGGAGAATGTGCTGGGAGACTGGTTGGGTGTCGATTAATGCTAGATCCAGGTCAATCAAGCACTGATTAGCAGAGTTGCAGAGCTGGGAGGCAGCTGGGGGGGGGTCTTCTAATGCAACTTCCACCATTTCAGACCAGCTCTGTTTAGAAACCTCCAGCGTTGGAGCATCCACAACTTCTGGTGGCAAGCCGTTCTGCTGGTGAACTGTTCTCACCGTTGGAACGTTTCTCCTCAATTCCAGATTCCTTGATGACTTTTGTTTCTTCTTCTTCCTTCGGGGGCTTTGGAAAATAAGTTGGCCCCCCTCTTCTTTGGGGCAGCCCCTCAAATACTGGAAGACTGCTATCCTGGGGTCCCTGGTCTTTCTCTTCACTACCCAATCCCAGCAACCGTTCTGGGTATGTTTTAGCCTCCAGCCCCTCATCCTCTTTGTTGCTTTTCTCTGCGCTCTTCCCAGAGTGGGCTTGGCAAAAAACAGGATGCCCAAATGAGAACACAGGCTAAACCTATTTATTTATTTTAAACCTTTAGATAATATTTGCACCGTATCCAAGGAGGATGTCAGATCCGTGTATCTGCCATTCTTCAATGGAAGAAGTGGGAGAAGTTGGTACAAATAATCCTTTATGATGTAACCTGAATATAGTAAATCCTATAACTTGCACATGATATACATGATATACATATACATTGAAGAGATAACAAGATGAGAAGGAGCCATAAAAATTCCAGCCATGGAAGACACGGGAGGGGGAATTACCTAGTGGGTTCTTTGTTTGACTAAATCCACATCTGAATGAGAGGAGGGGTTTTAACTCCCTTTATCTATGCCTGCACATATCCTAGACTCTGCTTTGCCTGGTGTTCAGATAAAGTCCCTTCCAATGAAGGGGTTCCTTTTGGACCCCCTGCTCTTCATCCTTTTCAGTTGAAGGGGAAAAGGCCCAGTGCTTACAAGGATGCCTGCATGCACTCAACCCCTGGCCTGCCAGGCCTAGGCCTCCGTGTGTGGGGGGGGGGGAATCCCGGGGGGCGGGGGTCTTCTTTGAGTCCTTGGATCTGCTTTCCGGTTTTTCTCTTCTTTCTCTTCCCATATTTGGCCCTTTGCAGAGGGCGATTCCACTTCCCGTGGAGCCTGGATCTTGTGGCCCATTTTGCTGACTACCCCTTTCCTCTGTGGGGCAACAACTGAGACTTTCACGGGGGGGGGGGCACTGCCAGTTGGATGTTGAGACACAGGATGAGCTCATCGTCCCCTGGGACCCGACAGCCACGCTCATCATCTCCAACCAAGGCCCAGGAGCGGCCTCTCTGCCAGCCAGGCAGAATCCTGGCCGGCCTTGGGAACGTCCGGGGATCCGGCAGTCCGGG